CGCTGATGTGGTAAGGAAAAAAATAGCAGAAAACACCCTAACTGACACAGCGGAGGACTCGTTTGTGCATAAATACAATGCTTCAAAGTTCAGCATACTTTTTTTCAGGCAAAAGATGCTAATATCTAACACTATCAGCTAGCAGTGAGCTTTCATATCTTGGCAACAATGTCATGTATCGCTGCTTTTGAAGCATGTCTGAAACTTGATTCTGTTGCAGGTACACAATGCTGCCTTCTAAGAAACTGACTTTTGAGACAGCACAGGCAGCAAGTCACTGAGATAGCTGCCTTCCTTTTCGGACAGCCAGACTCACAGAAACTTACATTAGCAACCACCTGGGATACCACAGCAATGGCCTAGCAACACCTTAGCACCCACTTGGGATTCCAGAGCAATGGCTTTGTCAAGCCAACTTAAAGTTCGTTCATAAACGTCCCCCCTTCTACAAGCCCATTTCCAAAATAGTAAAATTCGAAAATAGTACAAAGACAACATTTCAAAAGTTGAAACTGAGAAATTTTATTGTTTTTTGAAAAATATATGCCCATTTTGAATTTGATGCCAGCAACATGTTCCAAAAAATTTGGGACAGGGACAACAAAAGGCTGGTAAAGTTGTGTAATGCTAAAAAAAAACACCTTGTGTTTAATTGGCAACAGGTCAGTAACATGACTGGGTATAAAAAGATCATCTCAGAGAGGCTGAGTCTTTCAGAAGTAAAGATGAGGAGGGGTTCACTACTCTGAAAAACTGTGCGAGCAAATAGTGCAACAATTCAAGAATAATGTTTCTCAATGTAAAATAGCAAAGAACTTTTGCTTTTCATCATCTACAGTACATAATAACATTGAAAGATTCAGAGAATCTGGAGAAATCTCTGTATATAAGGGACAAGGCCAAAAACCAGTATTTGCTGGCTGTGATCTTTGGGCCCTCGGGTGGCACTGCATTAAAAACAGACATGATTCTGTAGTGGAAATCATTGCATGGGCTCAGAAACACTTTTGAAAATCATTGTCTGTGAACACAGTTTGTCCCAGCATCCACAAATGCAAGTTAATACTACAAATCAAAATTCTTTTTGGAAATGACAGACACTGTGTGCTCTGGGCTAAAGAACTCTCGGCTTGTTATCAGTGCACAGTTCAAAAGCCAGCATCCGTGATGGTACAGGGGTGCATTAGTGCACATGGCATGGGTGACATGCACATCTGTGAAGGCACCATTAATGCTGAATGATATATACATGTTTTGGCAGCATATCTGTGTCACTGTCCAAATACTTATGGAGTGCTCCACATGGAGAAGTCGTAGACTAAAGGCAAACTGTGTTCATTCAATAATGGCTGTTTGCTGATAGCTTCAAAGCACTACATTTGAATTATTTTCCACACTTAATTCAAAGCTGTGGCTGTCAATGATGTGGAGCCGAGACCCAGTTTGAGTGGCGGTAAGAAAAATGAAAAGTGCAATACTGTTTTGAAGTAAAACAAACAAGAGAGTTGCTCCACTTGAACGCAGGGGAACATTCATTCAAACTGATGCCAAACCAATACTGGAAATTAAATCAAGCAAAAGAAGTGTCGCTAGTGAAGCCTACGACCGTTCAAGCTTTCCTCAACAAGAAGCAACACATTATCTAAGCAAGCAAGAGCCACGTCTACTACTAGAGGTGACAGTTTCTTTTTTTTTTTTTTTGTGGTTCCTCTCCGGCCTGCTGGGGACAGGATATGAGAGATGCAGAGATGGCAGAAGGAGAGGCGGGCATGCTGGGGCCGAGACAATACGCTGGCGATGGCTATCAGCAGGTGCACGGGCGCTGGGAGCCCAGCTCGGGAGCCGCAGGAGCAGCAGCAGAGGCAGCGGCTGCAGGAGGACAAGCTCCAGCTCTGTGATTCATGACGCCCTATCAAACGCATTCAGCAGCAGGGACGTTATTGCCCACACAAATATCTCAGCATGTCAGTCCGACATCATCGCAGGGTCGCTTACGGTGCTCCTTTACGAGGGGCTCACGCGCCAAAGAGCGCGGGAGAGAGAAGATAAATGGGGACAACGTGTTTGTGAAACAAAAATGGATTCATAAAACAAATTATCGCCAAAAAGTATCTGGAAAGAGAAAGAATAGGAGAAAGAGGAGAATGAGAATCAGGGACATCATGAACGACAAAGTACAAAGTGTAGCAAGATCATTAAATGTACCTTACCTAGGAACTCAGCAGAATTGTGTTGTTTTTTTTATTTTGCCTTATATGTTAAAAAATCTGTTCTTTGCTACATCAGTCAAAACGTCATTGTGTACAAAATTTGACATCTCCTTCTGAGACCCCACATCAAAAGTTATTATAAATCGAGCCCATTCTAAAAACTCTTTTGGTTTCTAGTGGCTCTATAAGGTGCTTGGACCCCAGTGATCACCATTTAGCTCTCACAGTAGTTAGGATCCATAGAAATCAACTTGTTCTACATTAATTTCAGACAATACCAAAGTAGTAGCCAACTGTCTTTGTTGTAAACAATGGTAATATACAGTGCCCTCCACAAATATTGACACCCCTGATAAATATAAGCAAACAAGCTGTAAAAAACATTCTTTATTGCTAATCCTTTTGATCTTCCATTGAAAATATTGCAACAAATCTAACCTTTATTTGAAGTCCTGGAAGACGAAGAAAAAAAAAATCTTAGCATGAAATAAATATTTAATTGAATTTAATAGTAAATTTTATTTAATAAATATCAAACCTACATCTGTAACAGTGAGCCTTGGAGATTCTTTGGCCACTCAAACCATCCTCCACACCGTGTGTGGGGTCAATATAGATGCACATCCTCTTCCCAGCAGATTCTTAACATGTCCAGTTGCTTTAAAGTTCTTAATTATTGCTCTGAAGTAAACTTACATTTAAAAGCAGAATTAGATGGGACTCGATGTGAAAGCATTGCAAGTGAAGTTATTAAGAACGAAGCACTGGCACAGTGGTTAAATCTGTCTACTCTGATAAAACCATTTATTTCTTGATTCTGACACGCTGTAACTACCGTGTCATGAATAAGTCCATACAGGCAGATTTAACTACCTATCAGTCTAAATCAGAATAATAGCTAAGTTAGACAGTACTTAAACTGCAGTCATGCCCGCTAAGTCTGCAGCCTTCATGGTGTGTTCGATTTTAGTTTAAATGGTTCGTCCTGCATGCAGCACTCTATTTTTGAAAGCATTCTAAGTCTAAGCTGATTTTATACTGCTTATGTTGGGTAACCTGCCACAGTGCCTGGAGGGTGAAGCATATCTACTCGCAATATTTAGGTGCAAAACGTCTGGAGACAACCATGAGAAATCTGGGGCTAAATGTGGGTAGATACATAGACTTATTGAGGTGGGAACAAACTGACTGTTAAATTCATCCTAATGTCTTGAGAAGGTGGAGCTGAAAAGTCTGGTGCGTCAAAGAAAGACATTTAAATGGAGAAAAGACAGCATTGACAGAACCATCGTCTCCTCTCTACAGAACTTCTCTGGTACGTAGAAAAGACGAGTTTCTGATGCTGATTTGATACGTTCATCTTCATTTTATCATCTCTTCATAAGCTCTGAAATGGTAATTATAGAATGGATAGTTCCAGGATTTAGGGATTTCACCCTGCTTTGCTTCATGTAAAACCACAGTAACGCAGAGAGTCTTGTGGCTTATTGCTCTAATATCACAAGACAGATCAACAAGAGGCAAAATCAATGAGCCCAGGCAGAACAGAGAACAGCAAGGTTCAGAAAGTTTGGTGGACGTTATCACAGTTATTGTACGTCATAAAATCAGCTCAATCAGTTGCGACTTTTTATGTGTACAACTTCTGTTTACATCTTCTGGTTAGATGTTAAATATGTCAGTGTGAATGCTAAGCTAAACAACTAAAATGCAACAACGAGTGCGTTTACATGCACTTAACAATCTGGTAACTGCAGAAAATTAGATTTTGTCAGTAATCTGATCAGCGTACTTACATGCACTTAAGTAATCAGATGATGTGAATGTGAGTCTACATTAGTGAGGCAATAATCAGATTTCTGCTTTGCAAATGGCCAATAAACTCACATACGATTTTTTTAAACACTTTACCTGATAATACATACATCATCTAGAAGATGAAGAATTTTAAATCATTCATTTCATCAAGGATGTAGTTGTTTTCTGTGTCGCTCCAAGAAGAAAGAAAGAAATCTGAGTAAGGGTATACATGCCCTGAAAGATCCAATTACTGAGCTAAAATCCTGCTCTCTTTATCAAATTTCTTAATCTGATTTCTAGACATTCCTCCAATCTAAGAAATAAGAGTATGCTGTTTACATGACCATATGAATAATCAGATAACTGCAGAAACCAGATTATGACTGGATTATTAAGAGCACGTAAACGCACTCAATGTATCTTTTTCTGCTTTGGTCTGGGAACTCAACTACAAACGTGAACACACCATAAAAGACCATGGACTAGGAGAGTCAGAGCTTGTTTCTAGGCCTGTCACATTATTACATAATTGCCTAATCATATTTTTCTTTAAATTATCGTAATTATTTGAGATGATCACATTTATTTAAGTTGACTATAATACAAAATGTCGATTTCACTTGAGTGTTGGGCTGAGTATACTCAGGCGAGAATACTAGAAAGGAAGCAACCTAATCTCACCACTTTAGGCTTGTACTTTAAATTCGATTTAATTATCTTTCAAAAAACTACAGTTAAATTGTTAATCTCAATGATGTATGTGGCAATTAATTGTTAGCTAAAATTTAATATTTTATGCATCGATCATGTCACCACTTTACTGTACACGTCCATTAGACAGATAAAAGGGAAGAGAACAGAGATCCAAGTTAAGCAGAGCAAAATGTGGCCCTTTAATCAGTGAAGGATCACAAACACCCTTAAGGGGGTAATTTAAGATTAACGGGGGGATTTAGGGTTTAAGCATTTTATCATTAATTTCACACTATCCTAATTGCTGAGGGCCTAAAAAAGGCACAACGAAAGCCTGTTGAGCAGTTGAGAACATGTGAGGAGTGCTGCTGATTTGATGGCTTCTGGGTAAGATTATGACTATGCTTTTGTACCGCATGACATTCTTATGTAAATGTAAATGTACAGTGACAAGCAAGGGTTTTTTTTTCCTTTCCACTCACACTGGATCACAGTAAGAAGCTTCATTCCCATTTGCTGGGCAGAGGTTTACAGCACTTTTGCGCTGAGAAGATATATATGCAACTGAGTGAGCAGTAGCTTAAAACTTCTTTGCACAATTCAGATTGTGTGGCTACAATATGTACCTGAGGAAACTTCATGCTCAAAACACATTAATTTATGATTAGGATGCAGATGTTGGCGAATTCTTTTGCCCACCATTAGTCTACAATTAATTGTTAAGCAAGCCTAAAATCAAGAATGAAAACCTTCAATTCTGATGAAATTGCTGGAATACACAGGATTTCAAAGCGCCATATCTTCACAACCGTGTGGCACCTAGGAACCAATCACATGGTCATAGAGTTTCTGACTGTCACTGGAAAATGGCTCCCTTCAGTCTGTGAGGAGTTGGCGACCCCTGAGCAGAAAGCGTTTTGTGTTCTCCACTTCAATAAGAGTGACTAAACTGTGCAACATGATTTTCGTCTGCAGCGAACCTCCTGCTCAGCTCGGAGTGTTTGTCGTTGGTTCCACAACACTGGACGATCTCCGAAATCGCACTGAAAGAGTACAGTGACACCCGACATGCTCAATCAAGTATGGGATGAATTTGACTATGGCGTTGATGCTGTCTGTACAGCTGGAGGAGGTTCATATTGAGCACTTGTAAAATTACATAATAAACTTTATGCTCACTTAAACCATTTACAGTTTATTGCATTGTTCTGTAATTATCTAAAGTAAAATAAATCATTTTGAGATCGGATTCATCTTTTTGAATCACCCTGTATAAGGATGGGCTACTGAAAGTTCTCTATTTACCACACATTACTAGCCCAAGTTAAAACAAACATAAATAAAGGGCTAACTTTAGCTTAGTTTACCTCAGTAGCTCTCGAAAGCCGTCACCGTCACCACGACTTCCTCTATAATTTTACACACCCATGTGTGATTTCCTCACAGCACCATGTGTCACACTTTTTCTTGGAGAACATGGACATCATAGTTTGTCTTATCGCTTGCAGATGTTTGCTTTCGATATAGTACATCTTTGTAGTTGTGCTATTATCCTCTCAAAAAGTGTCCCCAAACACTGTTTTTGCTATTTTTAGCAGGTCTATGTAGCGGAACCAATTGTCTATTCCGCCCTCATGCGTATCATTCAAAAACTTGATTGATAAATCTGCTTATTCAGATAGGATTGGCTGCTTTGCGGAAATCTGTAACCCCATTTTATTTGTCAGTTATCAGTTAATTGGTTATTCACTTAAATTCCTGATCTTGCTTACCTCTTTAGCATGTGCTATGTACGAAAACAAAACGTATGCAGACATTCAAGACAGATGTTTAGACAGAGAACAATTTCCTTCATTTATTCATCATTGACAGGACAATTTTTTCACATTTTACACTGGAACAAAAAGTTTTTCCTTACCGCTTTGCTTCAAGAAAGTTGTCCATTAAGTCTTTAAACTTGTACAGACCTATTGCCAGACAGTCAGTCATTCTCCACTTCCTCTTAATCCCACTGTCTGATTATAATCTCACCATGACAGGGTGAAAGTGCCGCAAGGGATTAAAAGTACTCTGAGAAGAGAAGCTCTAAACTCAGTTCCCTGTGGTATCCGTGGGATTGAGAAGTGCTTTGATTCGCCACATGTAGAGAGCGAACAGGGGAAATTCATCCGACAGAGGGAGGACAAAGCTCTCCAGCTGGGCCTGGAGGTCCCGGTGCTCCGTCCCTGCCCTACTCTCCCCAGTCGGAGAAAGCTTCTCCAGGAGCCAGAAAAGGTAGAAAGAGTTCTCATACCTGCTCCAGTCCACCTGCTGCTGCTGTTGCTGTCCATCACTCGAAACTCTGCAAAACAACACAGTGCTTTTTAATAGAAGTGGTCCAAGTCCAAGAACTTGATGCTATGGCAGAAAATTAAACATGAAGTTTTTTTTTCCCAAGTAATAACAGGCAGTATTATGTTTGTTGACATAGAACAAAAAAAGGTGTGACAAAATATTCGCAGTAATTGGGTACAACTAACTGTTTCTTAATTTGTTTTGCTCCTGGTGATAATTTGCTTCTGGAGAGTTTTATTGCAATCATATCCACCTCATTCTCACATTCCGATGCTCCTGAAGCCTTGAATAATGGAAGAAGGATGTTAAATTAAGAGTCGATAAATAATTAAAATCTGGTCTATGTAACAGACTGTTAACAAAGACTGTAATGGGTTTTTGTCCGTAGAATACGTTGGAAAATTACTGCAAACCAATGAAATATTGTGGAAAAACTTGTCAATGAACATACGTGTGTCAGATGCCGACAAGAGCCACGAGAAACTGCAACCGGAAACCCCCTAGAAAAACCGAGCAGCCAAATTATAAACACTGCCAAGAGCCGTGAAACTGCAGCGCCATGCCCACAACTGCCGTCAGCAGCCGCAGACAACGGCAAGAAATCACCGCCACAACCACAAGCTCTGTCGAGAGCTCCCGAGAGTGGCAAAAGCGCAGTGCCACATCCACAATTGCCGACAGGAGCCGCAGAGAATGGCAAGAGCTCCATGCCACGTCCACAAGTACCGAAAGAAAAATGGATGACGGCAAAAGTGCAGCTCCACACCCACAAGCGCTGTCAAGAGCTGCAGAGAGCGGTGAGAGCACAGCACCTCCTGAACTGAAGTTGGGCCACTGAACTACACCAGGTGTTTGTGATTTTGTTTGTTTGTTTGTTTGTGAGCTAAGAAAATAAAATAATATCTGCCATAAGCATCACTCCTGTCTCATGTGTTGTTCCTTCTCCCAGGATGGTAGAATGCGATGTGCTGGTTGCTGGTAAACTGACTTAATTGTAAAACAATTTTTGATATTGTAATCATGAATATTGGCTGATACCGACATCGATTTGATATTTCTTTCTTTAAAGATTGAAGTTCACTCAGCACTTTACTTAAGATAATCATCTAAATGTAGGTTATTATGCTTAAACTATTCAATCACTTTCACTCAACCCCACAGAAAAAATACACAGCTGACACAGTGTGAGCGAGGGCCATTTCAGGACAGATTTGTTACAGGACTGGACTGGACTTTATTCCCTCTGCCCATCGATAATAATATACCATCTCTACCTTTTATATAAGTTTACCGAGTTAAGATAAGGTTTATTTACAAGTTGGGTGGACAATATGACGATTTGGTTTTCCGAGAATATCGAGGATAAAGTCAGTATTCAGTATAATCAGTAAGGACCCCTTAAAAACGGCATGTTTCATTACAAAGAGAGTGTAGTATGTGAAACATTAAATAAAAACCATTGTATTCACCAATTTTGTGTTTTAAATTTGACAAACGTTCTTTTTTGTCATTTCAACCTCAAAACCTCAGAAAAAGTAAATTTTGTGAGATCATGGATCGTAAAAATACTGAGGTACTGTGTTGTGATGCTACAAAACGGATTTTTCATGGATTTAATTCTCACTTTGACTCAGGCTTCTAAAGCTTCTAAAGGGAGGAATCCGCATGCGACACGTTTTTTAATTAATTGTCAAATCTTTATTCTTTATTCATGTTGCTCCTGTTGTGTTATTGTTTTGCTTTCTGGTTGTGACCAGAAGAAGATAAGTCCCCTTTTTGAGTCTTGGTTCCTTTCAAGGCTTCTTCTTCTTGCTATTAAGGTTTTCCTTACCACTGTCACTCTTAGCGTGGTCATTTGGGGCTTGGAACAGAATTTCTGTGAAGCTGCTTTGTGACTACAGCTGTGGTAAAAGAAGAACTATACAAATAAATTTAAATTTAACTAAATTAAATATTTTGCCACATCACCCATCTTCATTTAAAAATCATATTCAAGTTATCAGTATAACCAGTTAGTATAGTCAGCCTATCATGTAACAAAAAAGCACAAAATCAACATAATGGATAAAAAAGGCTACTCTGAAACTCAGCAATGTTGAAACACGGTTCTGGAAAAAGCTGGTGAAAAAAGATCATGTTGTGTATACTGCAGATATAAGTATTGAATGTAGCTCAAAAAAGTCTATTATCTGTCACCCAGTTTCTACTTGAACTTCTAAACTGCTACAAGTTTCACCCAAACTCATTTCGGCTTCAGGCAGATGTATCGCAAGAGAAATGACTGTTTCAGTCAGAGCCAGTAACTGCAAGGCATGTGGGCAGCAACTGCGGCGCCCCGAAAGTCAGATTACTTGGCCATGAACTGAGCAGTCAAGGATTCCGGCATCCTGCTTCTGCCACTGCATCCTTGGGCAAGACACTTCGGCCCAAGCTGCTGCTCCAAGGGGTTACTGCCCCTGTAAAGTGAATCCCTGCAAAATGAATAAATGAAAATCAGAAGGCCAAGACTTATCAATCAGGACAGCTACTGCTGGAAGGGGAAACGAGTCATTTGGCTTGCATGTGACGAACCGCAGCAAGCGTCTGTCTACAGCCTTCACAAAATGTACTCTTCTCCCAAAAAGGAGTGAGAGTTTCTCCCTTGTAGGCCACTCTCACCCTCCCCTCCTCTGCTACCAGATAACAAACACAGAAGAAAGCGAAGGAGATTATGCTTCAAAGTGCTGGAACTGGAGAGTAGTACAACAGATGTTAGTGGCACTGCTCCGAGTGTGTCCAAGCTGGTCGAGAGCAAGAGTGCAGGCAAGAGCTACCAGCAACAAACGATAGTGAGAGAAATTCAGGCCTAATGGCTTCAAGGGCATCCTGCCTGTTCAGAGTTAATAACTGATAGCTCCACCTGTTCCAGCTGTAAAGCAAAGATGGCTGAACATGGGAGGAAGGGCACTTTATAGGCGCCTTCAGAATGACTGCAGAGAATGATAAAAGAATGATATAAAACCGAATTCGTAAAATTTGTGCTGTGATTCAGAGGGCCGAGACACCACGTCTAATGAAGGTGACAAGAAGAACGATCTGTGGCAATGAAGCTCACCCTTGTGTGTAATCACTTCAGCAAGAAACAGGAAACAATAAAACCAACAAAAGTTCAGGGTTACCATGATTATTGTTTGAATCCAGCAAACAAAAGTTGCAAATAACATGAAAGTGTAATAGGCTTGTCGACACCAGAGTTTCTGCTAGGAAATCTTGGTGCTGGTCACTGTATCCCAGAATGACTCTGCTGGACAAAGAAGTACAATTTCGGTCATATAACGGTTGCTATGCAAAAACACATTATTACATGACATCATCAGTGCTGAGATAGTTACTTGAAAAAAGTAATGCATTACAAAACATGGAATTACTCATCACTTTCTGGAAAATTAATCTCCACGTATCATGTGAAACTAATCGGCTGAACTTTTGTATCTTTCTCTTTTTTCTTTGTCCATTCTTTCTTTTGCTTCCTTCCTTCCACTTTTTCTTTAGTTCTTCTTTCTTAATTTTTTGTTTTTCTTTTTTATTCATGCTTATCCTTCTTCCTTTTCTTTGTTTCTTTCTCTTTCCTCATTTTCTTTTTTGTGTTTCTTTCTTATTCTTTTTCTTCCTACCTTCATTTTCTTTGTTTCCTTCTCTTCCTTCTTGAATTCTATGATACATTGCTGAGAAATATCGTTTACAAGGATGGTACTCTTTGTTTCTTGCTTCAGTCATTCTTTCACTCACTCATTCATTCATTCAGCAGGAGCTTTTAAAGCTATTATTTTCTTACCTTGCAAGCAATTTCTTCAGAATTTTTATCAGGCATTGTGTCTGGCGGGATTTTAATTTGCTGGTCCTGTAGACTTATTTTTCGCTCAAATGCCAGTATTTACCAGCTAACAGAAACTCTGGTTGACGCAATGAAAATTAGCGAAAAGCGAAACTGTAGAGTGAAGAGAGTGATTACTTGGGGTGAGCGATATGTAGAGTGTGTCTATTCAGGTTAGACTGTTAGAGAGTGTATGTTTATTTGGGTTAGACGTGTGTGTGTGTGTGTGTGTGTGTGTGTGTGTGTGTGTATGCAGGCCGCTGCTCTGCTTGTTAGCAGCAGCTTTCGTCTCAGCCCTCCAGAGGTGTGACAGCATGTGACATACTTTCCTTGGCAACAATGCCCACCAGCCTAGGGATCCCTATGCTCACTTTCTTCTCCCAGCCCTCCCTCCCTCTCTCTCTCTCTCTCTCTCTCTCTCTCTCCCTTTGGCCCTATCTCCTCCTCAGTCTCTCTCTCTAGGCATAATATTTCCAATAAATAAATATATAAATATGAAAGTTCAGCTCGTCACGCCACTGCTGACATTTTTTGGAGCACAACCTCTCTTCGAGAGCAGGAGGAAAGATTTATGAAAAAGTTTTTTCCTGCTCTCTCCTGCATAAGGGGACTGAACTCAATGTTCCCATAACTTATTCAACACAAAATATAAGCACAAGGCAAGTAATGAGAAGATGGACTATCCCATAAAACGCTGATTCCTCAACAGCACAGAATTCTGGCTTCAGCACCTTTGGTTTTACTTGGTGCTCTGTCCGCTAATTCAGTTTAGTGAGAGCTTTTCTATAAGGGTCCCATGACAGATATGTCAGTATGGCACAAAGGTAATTATAAAGAGAAAAACACCACAGAGATAGCAATTTTATTCTAAAAACTTACAAAAAACTGTAACTGCAACAAAAATAATGACGCTACTTCTTTCCCTGGGGTAACATGGTTACAGAACAATGCTGAAAGGAGGCCACTAAAGTGTTGGAATATCAAATGTGTGGAACGAGGGGGTAAGAAAAAAAAATAAATCTGAAAGTACGCTGAGATGACAAATCTTAGGCTGAAATGTCATTCATTCCAAATCTGGGCATCCTGGGGCGCACAGCAATAAGAGCTCTGTCTGGGCTATAGGAGGACCGGGGGGACAGTAGGTG